ACTCAAGTACACCCTCAATGCAAGAACACTTTGTTCTATTAAACTGGCATTCCATGACGCTCACCTTCCCAACACAATCGCTAAAGACAAAGCGGGTATATAAGCAAATGTGGTGAAGAAACCTGGCTATCAAATGATACAGTGTGGGGGGTCTTAAAGGCTGGAAGGTAAACAAGCAGCCCACCAGCTTTAATGGTGTGGAAGAAACTGATGGTGTGGAAGAAGCTCGCCAGCCTATGTGATCACGAGGTGTGAAAGGATCAGGTAGTAAGCATCATAGAACAAAAAATCAGATTGTGAATAAGGGGGAGTGCAGAGTGGGGACCCAAAGCCCATCTGTAGGCAGCTGGTCACACCCTTACAGAATGGTAGTGGGGAGGAGACGAGCCAGCCAGGGTACAGTGTGGCAATGATGAAACATACAACTTTCCTCTAGTTCTTAAATGCTTCCTGTCCTCCCCACTATCATGATCCCAATTCTACCTTACAAATCCGGCTAGACCAGAGAATGTACACTGGAACTGGAAACACAGATGAATCCTTCAGGACCAGTGGTGAGAGTGGCGATACTGGGAGGGTGGAGGGAAGGAGGAGTAGAAAGGGGGAATCGATTACAAGGATGTACATATAACCTCTTCCATGGGGGACGGATAACAGAAAAATGGGTGAAGGGACAATGTAAGACATGAAAAATAATAATTTATAAATCATCAAGGGTTCATGGGGGGGCGGTTGGAGAGGGAGGGGAAAAAATACCTAGGGCTCAAGTAGAAAGCAAATGTTTTAAGAATGATGAGGGCAATAAATATACAAATGTGCTTGACACAATGGATGTATGTATGAATTGTGATGAGTTGTGCGAGCCCCCAATAAAATGATTAAAACATTTTTTTAAAGTATTGTTCCTTATGGAGGAAAGTAGAAGAAATGCTGGATTGGTTCAATTAATGGGCTTCCATACTTCTAGACTTCTCAGAGCTTTTATTATGATCATGTATATTTTGAAGCTATAAAATTTTATGATATTGTTTCTTTTCAGTTTAGTTAAGTTGCAAAATCTTTTTGCTCACAAATTATCAACTTGTAATGGAATCCTCTGAAGCAAAATACTTTCACAAACAGCTTGTGTTTCAGCAGATTATTTACCGTCTCTCCCTTATGTATTTGTTTCACCCTTATATAATGATACACCTTGGCATTGGGTTATGTGCTTTAAGAGTGGTTGGAAGTTTTTCTTGACATTCATATTGAATGTTGACTGAATTAGAGTGTACATATTTTATTGGCTGTAACTATTTCGTATTTGTTTGTGATACCCGGATATTTTCATTATTAAATCACCGTATATACTCGTGTATAAGCTGAGTTATTCAGCACATTTTAAAAACAGTTTTTGTGGTAAAATTAGATGCCTCAGCTGATATTCACGTCGGCTTATACTCAAGTGTATATGGGAAAGTATTTAGTTAAATTTTGTTGATGCGTGTTCAGGTGTCATAAAGAGCCTTCAACATTATGTTGTGCACAATCAGTGTAGTTGTAGTATTCTTGGTGTTGATTTAATTTAGAGATGAAGTTCTTGAATGCATAAATTGCAGGAGGTTGTTCAGTACAGCTTTCAGCATTCACAATGACTTAGATTTGTACTACTCTGTTTCCCCAAAAATAAGATGGTGTCATATTAATTTTTGCTCCCAGAGATGCGCTAGGTCTTATTTTCAGGGGATGTCTTAATTTTCCATGAAGAAGAATACGGTACACATTTATTGTTGAACAACAAAAAAGGAAATTTATTACCTGTATACGGTACGGTAGTAGTTGTCATCACAAACCAGCATAACCAGACAAACTGCGGATCCTACAGTATCAAGATTTCTTGTTACTACCATTATTTCCATGTACAATCTATGGTACATTTACTCATTTATTCAATGACAGTCATATCATCGTCTGGAACATCATCATAACAATCCAAACCCTGAATTTCCTGGTAAATTTCTTGTGACTCTATTTCTTTCAGAATCAATGGACCAAATCTCTCATGTTTAGCAATAGCACCGTCCTTAAATGAGTACTTCTTGTCGAGATAGCCTGCTCGTAGTGCATTTGCAATGCAACTGTCACTGATTTTCTCCCATGAATTCTTCACCCAAGTCACAACCTCCTGCAGTTTAGGTTTCACAAAGTTTCCATGCTGATTTCTCTCCATTCTATTTTCAATGTAGTCATTAATTTCCATGCACAAGTTGTCTTTGAATGGCTTGTTTATTGCAATATCAAGAGTCTGGAGACAGGGCGTCATTCCTGCGGGAATCATTATTTGATCTATTTTTCTTTTGTGAAAAAATGTCTTCATGTCTTTAGCGCGGTGAGTGCTGGTTGCATCCCAGACTAGCAGACCTCTTTGGCTCTCTCACTTAACAAGCGGCAGGATTAAATCGACCCATTTCCTTATAGTTGCTTGTGTGGCCCAGGCTTTTTCAGTTTCAAGAATAAAAATGCCCAAAATACGTTCAATCTTTTCCTTCTTGCCCTGAGAAATGATTAAAGTTGGTATTTTAGTGCCAGCTAGACCAATTGCCAAAATACAGGAAACACGTGCACTTCCGTGAGCAGTGGAGGGAATGTATGCTGAGGAGGCACCCCGCTGTTCAATTGTTGTTTGAGATGATTGGCCCATAAACACTGCAGTTTCACCCATAGCAATCATGCTGGAAAGATTGTATTTAGAGAAGTCAGCATCAATAAAGGACTTGAATGCAAGTGCTTGCTTAATAACTTGAGCATCTTCCAGCCTAAACAATGTTGTAGATCTTCCTAAAGACAGTTCACTTCCCTGAAGGAAATTATCCAGCCAGTGTTGTGATGCTTTGAATTTTTCGGGGCGATGTCAAACTGTGGTGCCATTGCAAGGGCAAATTCTTGAATCTCAGCCCTATTCACAACCAAAGCCTTTGCTTTCCTGTCAACAACCCATTCACAGATCAGGTCTTCTAGCTCGAAAATAATGGTTGCTGACCTGATCCACACTGGCGCTTTTTTAGCATTTCCCTTGTCCGCTTGTTCAATGAGGTTACCATACTCTGCTCGCCGTTTTCGGACCAATCGGATACTCAACATCTTCTCTTTGCAGAAAGCAGTAAGATTTTGGCCTCAAGAGTCTTCCATGATTCCTTTCGTGTACTCCATGGAGTAGCTTTTTCTTTTTGTGCTCACGTCTAAAGGTTAAAAAAAAAAAAGACACTGGGGTATCAGGGTGGTGGAAAGGGGTTCACTTAAAATGACACAGGAGGATCAGAGGGGGGAATAAAAATGAAACAGGAGAATCAGGGAGAGGATTACCATTTTGTAACCCCTTCTGATCCTCCTGTGTCATTTAAGTGATACCCCATTTTAAGTGATCCCCTTCCCCACCCCTGTGCCAATGGACACCTTCACCAGACATCCCCCCACCCCTTTATCAGACATTTCCCCCCTACCTCATTCACCCCTGTGTGTCCACACAATGTGCCCGACTCCTGCCCCATGCGGCTCACTGTCTAATTGTGAGGCAGCCGGACTCTGTCAGGGCAGAGCAAGCAGCAGGCGGCAGCTTGTCTCGGTGGCGTGGGCTCTCTGATTAAAAGAGACCTTGCATTTCCTGTCTACTCTGGCTGCACTGAGGCCAACAGTGAGCTGCGCAGCGGCCGCTACCAGAGTCCGGAGTTACTGTAGCTTCGGGGGGCCTTATTATTGGGGAGGTCTTACTTTCAGAGGAAACACGGTATTCCTTAGTTTTATTCATGCTTAAAAGTAGAAAATGATCTTCAGAGTGCTAATTCTCAGATATTAGTATTTCAATAGCTTAAAAATAAGACCCTTGGTCTCCATGATATTATTCTGTTCTGTTCTACTGGTATTTAACAGTTCCCTTGGCTTTTTTAAGTTGTGGAATTCCTTTAAACGTTTGGAAGTTAGGCTGCCCCTCTGGAAAATTACAGTGTTTATACACAAGGTTTCATGTTATTTTATGGCACTGGAGGATCTTCCCTGAAGAAATCCTCCCTAGACTCCTTTTTTAAGTTAAGAAACACTAACCATTTCCCAGGGGAACTTATAAGTGACTTGTTTTTGAAGGATATAAAAGGCAACCTATAAATATTTTTATTTTCTTGAATTGACCTTGTATAGGAAAATTTTACCACTCCTAACCTACAAACCTTTATTTATTTTAGTGCAAAAGTATTTATTAGGTATCTACTTTGTCCAGGTACTGTTTACATGCTACATATCCAAGAGAGAACCAAAACTCTTCCCTCATCATCTCACTCCTAAAACAAAACAAAAACAACAACTACCCACATTTTGCATTCATAAGGACATTAGACCAAATCTGGTTAAGTTTCTTCCATTTGTTACATGTGCCAACTGATACACAGAACTTTTAGAAGGTTTTAGTTGGTAGCAGAACCTAGGTACTGGAAGAAGCTAAAACACCATCTTTGTTTAAGGTCACTACTGTGTAAATAAGGAAGCAAGACACAAAGTGTTAAAATAAATAAAGGAATAATATTTTATTAGGAGGACCTGCATGAAAAGAAATAATTAGGGTTTGTGATTGTTTTCCCTGATTCGTATCTAAAGGAGTAGATCACGTCAAGCAGAAGGAGCAATGCTAGGAAAAGGAATAAGAAGGCAGGAAGATTTACTTCAGAATTGCAATTGATCAGATTAAATTATTTGAGGAAAGATGTCCAGGTTTCTCCCATACCAATTTTCTCCTGTGTGCAGTTTGATTTAGTCACATTAAGTATTATTAGTAAATAATTAATATTGTCTCACTAATAGAGTGAAGGCAGTACTTAATTTTTTTTGGAAATTTAAGTATGTGGTGCTGAAAATTTAAATGTATAATGCATTTAGTTGAAAATGCTAAATTTGTTAGAGGTATTTCAAAGTTAAATTTTGTAGAAATTATGAATGGCTGAAGAATTATTTAAGAAATTGAATTTTATTGGTAGGTGTTGTCTACATCTACTGGCCTAACAAAAACAGTGTATAACCCAGCTGCTTTGAAGGCTGCACAAAAATCCTTACTTGTTTCCACCTCTGCAGTGGATAATAATGAAGCACAGAAAAAGAAGCAGGTAAGTAAAATGAGTAAAATATGTACATAATTGGTATGAAATAAATCTTTTCTCCCATATTTTAGTTTTTCTTCAGGGTTTATCACAACCTAGAAATTAAAGAAATGTGCTGCTGCAACTTTATCTTTCAAAGTGTGGGATTAAATATTACGTTTTTTTCTTGGGATAAAAGATTTCCAAAATGATATGAGATTTTTGAAAGTTATGTGCTCATGTGTATCTTTTGTTTAAAAACTGCACTTACCAATCACAATGATCTACATATACCCCCAACAGAAAAGTGGGTGAAGGGGAGGCAGTAGTTGGTGTAAGATGTGGGGGGAAGTGGCTTTTTTGTTTGTTTGTTTTTAAATAAATCATCAAGGGTTCATGAGGTGAGGGGGAAAATGAGCAACTGATATAAAGGGCTCAAGTAGAAAGAATGTTTTGAGAATGAAGATGGCAGCATATTACAAATGTACTTGACGTGATAGATGTATATATGGATTGTGATAAGAGCTGTAAGAGCCCCAGATTAAAAAAACAACAAAATTGCACTTACTAGCATTTTTTAATCCACTTTAACAAATGTTTCTCAAAAAAGTAAACATATTCATATATTCTGATATTTTTAAAATCCTTTTTTCTAGGAGGCGCTGAAACTTCAGCAGGATGTAAGGAAAAGGAAACAAGAAATTTTAGAAAAACACATTGAAACACAGAAGGTAAAATTTCAGGGTTAGATTTGACAAAGTACATTTACAAAGGAAAGTTGAGTGAATTTTATCTTAAACTGTATATGTGCTGAGAAACATTTATTTTATTAATGTGGAGACTGAAATATTTATTAATGATAATGTATCTGGAACGAAGGTTTATATGTTAAATGTCAGGAGGTGGCTAAATGGATCTGTGCCTGTGAAGTTGAGATGAAATATAAAGTAGTGCTTACCTCTGTGTTTCTGCATAGTAGTTTGTTCAGATAGTGAAGTGGAACCTGTTCACATGAGATGTGGATTTATTTTTATTATTGACTTGGGATTCTTTCTAACCAGGAATTGTCTAATATAGTAGCTATTAAGGACCACAAGTATTGAGTACTTAAATATTATCTAGTCTTACTTGAGATGTGTTGAAAGTATAAGTACATGCCACATTTTGAAGACAATACAAAAAAGGCTAAACTATTTAAATGTTGTTTAGTACTGATTACTGTTAGCATTTGTTCAAATTTACCACTTTTCAGTGAACAAATTGGGTTTCTTCTGGCAGATGCTAATTTTAAAACTGGAGAAAAATAAAGCAATGAAATCTGAAGACAAAGCAGAAATAATGAGAACTTTAGAGGTTTTGACAAAAAATATCACAAAGTTAAAAGATGAGGTCAAAGCTGTTTCTCCTGGACGCTGTCTTCCAAGAACTATAAAAACCAAGACTCAGGTATTTAAAAATTTTTTAACTGTTGTGAGTTAGGTGAAGGTTTACAGAAGATGTCATCAATTTTACATTCAATGCACAGCTTGTTTAAACTTAACCATTGCAATCCCCACAATATGTACCATCACTTATCCCACTTCTGTGTTTCCAGTGTACTTTTTCCTTAGTAAATGATGCCCTTTTGATCTTAACACTGTCGATCTTGAATATGCTAATACAGGAATGAGTTCAGTTCTAGAACTCAGAGATGATTCAGGGCTATAATCTTAGGGATTCCACCCGTCTCTGGCCAATAAGCCTAGTTATGATTTTGAGTTTTATTTTACATTTTTCTCCTACTTAATGCAGGACTTTTGAGCATGTGATAGTGGTAGCTGGGCGCTATCTAGTTCTCCTGATCTTAAGGTTGTGGAGACTGATGTTTGTGTGGTGCGTTAATCCACTGAACTAAAAGTTTTTTTATCTTTTTCCTTTTCACTGTTCTTTCCTCCAGAGAGGGAAGGACCAATAGTTGCACATTTAAGTTTGTTCATAAAGCATGTAAGACCCCAGGGGCTACTCACCAGAGTAAGATGGAGAACATTAACATTGTCTTTGGGAACAATGTTATGCCAATTGACTTTGGCCTCTCCTGAGGACTAAAGAATTTTAAGTATTGTTATTCACATTACTACTACTACATTAGGCAGTGCCTTTGGCTCAAAATCTGATCAATGTCATTGATCTTTGATTTATTCTAAAATATAGCTATTAACAAATGCACAGGAGCTCTGCTAGCATAGTTGGGCTGCTAACCGACCACATGGTCAGCAGTTCAAACACATCAGCCGCTCCGCAGGAGAAAGATGAGCCTTTCTATTCTAAAGATTTACAGCCTCAGAAATGGGTAGGGAGGGCAGTGCTACTCTGATCACTGAGTCAGAATCATCACACTAACAGTGAGTTTTACAAATGAGCTAACAGAGGCACAGGAATGTTAAGTCTCGTGTGTAAGGTTACACACATAATATACACACGCACACACATAAACACACAACACATAGACACTTGTATGTGCAAATATTATTCATGCCTGTATTATTTGTTTGCATGTTGTTTGAATTGTTTATAAGTTATTTTCCAAATGTTTTTCCATATCACTTAGGTGTCGTAAGGAGAATGAATTACAGGGAAATCAGTGGAAGTAGAAACAAATTAGAAGCTATTGCAGTAGTTTGAACTAGATATAATTAATGGTTTGGATTTGAGTGATAATACCAAAGATAAAGAAGAAATGTATGGATAATGGAGACATAAACAGTTTTGTTTTTTAGCTAGGGGGAAAGTTTTGTTTAAATATTAAATATTGTAACAAAGTATTTTACTGCTTTTTTAGATGCAGAAAGAATTGCTTGACACAGAACTGGATTTATATAAAAAGATGCAGGCCGGAGAGGAAGTCACTGACCTTAGGAGGAAATATACCGAATTACAGCTGGAAGTATGTTTCATTAAACAGTACAATGCACTAAAAAGTGTTGTAGTTAATATGAAAATATAATCCCTTCATTTGCTTCATTAGTGGTTGGCAGTCTCGACATTCTTATTGATATGTTGGTAAAGGAAACAGCGCACAAACCTAACACCTTTTCGGAGCTAGTAGAGAAGGTAGTTAACCAGGGGTAGTAACATTCATCCTGTGCACCCAAGCCTCTCTACCTGTCTTCTCCCCGGATAAAACCCAACAGTTATTAAAAACTCTTTGGATGTCCTTATTGGATACTCTTCATCTATAGGCATACTTGTTGAGGGTTTCAAAATGTCCATAAAAAAATTACAGTATATTTTAATTCCATTTTCCACATACTTTGGAAGCATCCTTGTTTTGACCTGCTTAGGACCAAGAACTATATTGAAGAACCTGCTTACCTAAGTTTTGCCTATAGATGGTGCTGTGGGTGTTTATAAGAGAAAATAAACCATTTGCTTTAATTTATTATATGATTACTTATATAAGAAACAAACTTATGGTCAAATTGATTCCTATTACATGACACATTTTTACATTTTTTTTTTGACACATTTTTACATTTAACCAAAGTTGGACCTACATTTTGAAATACAGAAGACATAATTTCATTAATAAAATAGTACTTACCTATGTTTCTTACTGTGTGCAATAGAATTTAAATCCTTTTTTTCGTATTTATTGATACTTTGATTATTTCTTTTGGGAATATTAGAAATCTATGCTGAGTTGTGACATATAAATAATAAAATCTTAGCATTCAGCTGCAACTAGAGCAACTAGCTTTTATCTTCTCTAAAAATCAAAGGAAGCTGTAGGATGTCCTAAAACTATTACATACATTTACAGTCTTTGGAAACATGACCTGTTTGCGTGTATGTACAACAGTTTTTATTTTAAAGATATTTTAATGTAGAAATTGTTCTTCCCTTATTTTGGAGATTGCATTGCTGATACTTTTTTTACATGTTGGTTCATAATTATAGGAAGTAAATAAAAACTCACTGCCATGGAGTCAATTCTGACTCGTAGTGACCCTCGGTGGCAGTGTAAAATGGACCCTGTGTATTCTTGAGACTGCAACTCTACGGTAGTAGAAAGCCTCATCTTTCTCCCACAGAGCTGCTAATGGTTTCAAACTGCTGATCTTAAGGTTAGAAGCTACCATGCTACCAGGGCTCCAAAACTCAATGCCATTAATCAACTCTGACTCGTAACAACCGTATAGAGCAGGGTAGAACTTCTACTATGGTTTTCTAAGACTTTAAATCTTTACAGTAGTAGAAACCCTTATCTTTCTCCCACAGAGCAACTGATTATTTTGAACTGCTGAACTTGTGGTTATTAGCCCAATGCATAACCTGCTACAACATCAGGGCTGTAACCAAATAATAGATTTAACAAAATTATTAGTTTACCATTTTTTCCCCATGATCTTGCTAAACATTGGCATTTTGTTGTTACTGTTTTTCTTTTATAATGAGTAAATTTCAGTTTCTAGAAATCAGTAGAGAGTAATAAAGCATTTTTCAGTGCATGTTTCTTCACAGTAATTGCATTGTCAATGAATGTTAATGAGAAAGGTTCAGGGGATATAAATTTGGAAATGTCTTTATTAGACAGTATTTTTGACTATGGAATTTCTCAGAGACTTTAAATTTGTGAATCTCAAAAAATACTTATTAGCACTCAGTTTGTGCATTACTGTCTAAAACATACCCTTTGGAAAAGAAAGGTGGGTGAGAAAGGGGGAACCAATCACAATAATCTACATAGAACCCCCTCCCTGGGGGATGGACAACAGAAACGTGGGTAAAGGGAGACATAGGACAGTGTAAGACATGAAAAAATAATACTTATAAATTATCAAGGGCTTGTGAGGGAAGGAGGGTGGGCAGGGGGAGGGGACAAATGAGTTGATACCAAGGGCTCAAGTAGAAAGAAAATGTTTTGAGAATGTTGATGGCAACAAATATACAAATGTGCTTGACACAATGGATGGATGTATGGATTGTGATGAGTTGTGCGAGCCCCCAATAAAATCTTTTTTTTTTTAAGTGTTAAGATTACCTATCTTGAGATAAAGGAACTGAGCATACCTATACTATGAAGATTTGACAGTGGTGATGGCATGACATGTTCAATATGTTTTATATCCTCAGTCCAATAAGTTTAAATGCTTATCTTTTACCCTAAATCATCAGATGTCTATCTAATTAACCAAACCACAGAGCTAGAGTCTTTAATTGCTTCCTTTTCCATTGGTATTCATATCCAGTTAACTACCAAGTTTTAGAAATGTTATTCCCAAATATATGTTAAATGTGTTTATCATTGCTACCGCTTTAGTCTGAACTTCCATCTTTAATTGCTAGGACTACTGTAGTGACCTTCTGACTAATATTCCTAGTTTGCTTTCTCCTACCTTCTACTCTATTTTTTTTAAGAGTATTCTAAAGACTCTAACCACAGTAACATTTAAACACCAATTTGGTTACATTACTTCCTTAAAGTGTATTAATTTTTATGACCGTTGGTATCAAAATCAAAATATTTTAAAAATAGAATTCATTTTATTAAAAACAAATTTCACAGTAGTTATTGAACATTGTATCATCATGACTGTTAATGAAAAACAGACTAAAGCATATATTGATTAAGCAAATTGAAGCTAGGCCATCACAAAAAGCCTGTGCATTATGAACATTTGGTCAACATTACAACAATAAGTTTGGTGAACTGTGGAAGGGGGAATCCTTCAGCTCTATCAATGACATTAATACAATGTGTCATTTCAGACATTACTTGATAAGGAAACAATATAAATCATCACAACTTCTGTGGAACATTTCCTCCATAAAAGCCTTCATCAAAGGCTTAATCTCCAGTTATGGTGAATGAAGCACATCAAATGTTCTATAAAAGCAGTTTTTGAAAATAGTCAATGGACTTGTATTGAGCTTTAAACTTTGTAACAGAAGACAATTCTACTGGATATAGCTGAGAAAGTAAAAAATTTTCTTTCAAATCAAAAGAAAGCAAACTAGAGGGAGACGTCGGACAGGGCAAGATATGACAAAATAACAGTTTATAAATTATCAAGGGCACATGGGGGAGGAGGGAGCAGGGAGGGAGGGGAAAAATGAGGACCTAGTGTCGGGGGATTGAGTGGAGAGGAAATGTTTTGAGAATGATGAGGGCAATGAATGTACAAATGCGCTTTACACAATTGATGTATGTGTGGATTGTGATGAGAGTTGTATGAGCCCCTAATAAAATGATTAAAAAAAAGAAGAAAAATTTTTTTAGTCCATTGGTGGGCAACTGAACACCCCCTAATTGAGGGGTTGTGGGGAGCAGACGAGCCAAT